TCATCCTCTCTGGGATGGTCCGGCTTGATCTTGTACATGCAGTCCAAGCTACTGAAAGTTCACTCATATGACTGCCCTGCTCTGTCCAGAAAACACTGTTGGGCTGTAGTCATCCACAGCCTCTAGCTCTTTCTAACTCTGATTTCCACAATGAAACAGAGACTTGGGAGCACAGGGTATGATATAGATGTGTTATGTAAGGCTAAGGACTCCAGCCCTAACTGCATTTATTCATATTCTTATTCTCTGTACCATGACCAGTTGTGGTACTCAGAACACGTTTGCTTTCTAGGTAGTGGTACACAGATATGATATCTACATTGTTGTTGCTGGGACACCATCATGAGAAAGATCAGACTTGGAGTGAAGCTCACTGATCCATGATGTCAAGACTAAGGCAGTGAATTAAAATATGGAGACTTAATGCCTAATTCTGCTTCTAAGTAATGTCATCTTACTGTTCACATTGCCAATTATTCATAGCTGCCCAACAAAACCTTGTTAACTGACACGAGCATCCTGCACAGAGTGTGCTTGCTGACTCCTTACAAGGTGAGCTAAGTATTACTGTGATGCCCATTTTTAAATTTTTTATGACTTATGTCTATGTGTGTGTATCTGTATATGTGCACTGTGTAAAGTGTGTTCAAAGGCCAGAAGAGGGTGTCAGATGCCCCAGAGCTGGAGTTATAGGTAGTTGTGAGCCACCCAATGTGGGTGCTGGGAATTGAACTGGAGTCGTTTGTACGAGCAGCGAGCATTCTTAACCACTGATCCTTCTCTCCAACCTCTGATGTCCATTTTGAGGATGATAAAAATAAATATTAGGAAATTAAAGCAAGTTACACAAAGTTATGCAGGTACTAATCCATAAATCCTAGGGTGTCGGATTCCTAAACCCCACCACTGACCTCCTCTGTGTTATCAACTGGCCTCACCAGCTCCTTGAAGCCAAGGTTTGAAATTCAGTTCAGCTTTGGTCAATGAGATGAACTCATGTGGAACCTGGATGCCAGAAGGAAATTAAAAGGTATCTCCCTGGAATTGGGAGGGTCAAAAAGAAAATTCCAACAGATAGGAGTGTTTCCTGTGAACTCCGTGTTCCAGCATCATGTGCCACTGCTTTCAGAGTGAGTGGTGACACACACAGCACTGGAGCCAGCAGACAGAGCAGCTGATTGACCTCTAAACAGAATCAGCCCCAAGATTATTTGACCTTGAAATCAACAGTCTAAGGGCAACCACCAAACTGTACTCCAGACTTCCCAAATATCTAATTCCTCATACTAAACCACTCCATTGAAATACCTAAAATTATTGTCATTTCCTGAACTGATGTCTGGTACTCTATAAATAAAGACCAGCTTGAATAACTCATTCACTTGAATCCTCTAAAAGTGTGTGGCCCATGCGTGGTACAGCTCTGTCTTCAGAATATCCTCTATTAAACCACATGCTCCTCTGCTTCCTCACGTAGACACAGTGTCTGGGAGGCTTCTGACAGAACATGCATACACACCACAATAGATCTTTCTTCTTCCTTCCCTTGGTGAGCCAGAGCAGACTAGAGATTAGCAGCCCTCATAATACACCTTCTTTGTACCCTTAGGAGATATTTTCTCTTTTGTAAACTTTTATCAAGAACATTATGAGGGGCTGGAGCAATGGCTTAGCAGTTAAGAGCACTGACTGCTCTTGCAGAGGACGCAGGTTCAATTCCCAGTACCCACATGGCAACTAACAACTGTCCATAACTCCAGATCCAGGGGATCCAAAGCCCTCTTCTGACCTCCACAGGCATTGCACAATAGAGATGTATTTACATGCAGACAATACACTCATACACATAAAATAAAAATAAAAGCAATAAATAAAATATTTTTTAAAAGAACACAATGGCCAGACGTGGTGGTGCACGCCTTTAGTCCCAGCACTCCGGAGGCACAGGCAGGTGCATCTCTGCATCGAGTTCCAGGACAGCTGGGGCTACAGGGAGACCGTATCTCAAAAAGACCAAAAACAAAAAAATCCCACAATGAGCTAAGATTAGGGATATATATATATATATATATATATGTATGTATAAAAGAACACAATGGCCAGACGTGGTGGTGCACGCCTTTAGTCCCAGCACTCCGGAGGCACAGGCAGGTGCATCTCTGCATCGAGTTCCAGGACAGCTGGGGCTACAGGGAGACCGTATCTCAAAAAGACCAAAAACAAAAAAATCCCACAATGAGCTAAGATTAGGGATATATATATATATATATATATATGTATGTATTACATGTTAATATATATTATACAAATATAATTT